CTGAAAGAACTCAGGGGAGCTGTCGCTAGGCAAGTAGCTGGGGATGTCCCCGTACACCCCATGCTGCTGCTCACCTGATGCTGCTGCTGCTGCTGCTGCTGCTGCTGCTGTGTCATCTGCTGCTGTCCTCAATGCATGCAGCAACCAATCGGCCTGCTGCAGATACAAAGGAGCAGCAGCACCGCTGCAGCAAGCAGCAGCAACTGCAGCAGCAGAAGGAACAGGCCCAGCTATAGGGGAGACAGCAGCAAGGCTAGCGAAGGGCTCCACTGCCGCTCCTCCCCTTCTTGCTGCTGCTGCAGCAGCAGCAGCAGCAGCTGCTGCTGCTGCTGCTGCTGACATCCCTGCTGTCTTGGCTTCGTGCTGCAGCTGCAAGGCCCCCAAAGAAGAAACTGCAGCAAATACGATGCTGCGGAGACAAACAAAACACCCAGTGGTGTCTCTTATATGTAGCAGCAGCAGCAGCAGCAGCAGGAACAGCAACAGCAGCAAAAGCAGCAGCAACAGCAGCAGCAGCTGCTGCTGCTGCAAGGTTTATCTACTTGCGCAGCTCCCGCCTTCACTGCTTGTACAGCAACAGCTGCGACACCAGCAGCTGCAGCAGCAACCACAGCAGCACCAGCAGCAGCAGCAACCACAGCAGCAACAGCAGCAGCAGCAGCAGCAGCAGCAGCAGCAGCAGCAAGCTCACGGTTTCATGAAGCGAATGAGGGTTTCATCTGCCAGCGCATTGCCGAAGGGGTCTGGGGGTGTGAGGGTTCTCCTGCTTGCATGCAGCAGCAGCAGCAGCAGCAGCTGCTGCAGCAGGTCTGCTGCTTGCTGCTGCTCAAGCCGCCAGTGCTGCTGCCCCTTTGATAGTATATCCGATAGATGAGATAAAGCTGCTGCTGCATGCATAAAAAAAGCAGCAGCACGGGGCCCTTCAAGCCTCACTCCATCACCTAGGTCATTGTCGTTGCTGCTGCTGCTGCTGCTGCTGCTGCTGCTGCTGCTGCTGCTGCTGCTGAGATGCGGATCCTCCTGCTGCTCAGATACAGAGGGACCTGAATGCTGCAGCAGCCGCTGCTTGTATGCTGCTGTGTCTGTGTGTATGCTTGTCTCCTCTCCCCCAGCAGCAGCAGCAGCAGCAGCAGCAGCAGCAGCAGCAGC